GAGCTGGAGACACAGATCTGCGAGGAGTGACTCGCCTCTCACCAGCACTGCCAGGGGCGGATCAGCGCCAGCAGCTTCCAGCATACACTAAACTGCTGGAGAAGCCGGCGTGGCTGGAAGGAGCCCTGCCTGCCTGCCCTCCTCCTCCTCAGTTACCGGCCTTGACAGCTCTAGGGTGACCCAGAAGGGGCCTGGAGGAGTAAGAAGCAGCTTCCCAGCTGAAGGCCGCATCATCCTCTCTGTGCTCTCACAGAGTGGAAGGTTTTAGCAGAAAAAGGAGTTTGTAAGCGACATTCAGAAGATTTGGGCAGCAGTTTCACGCCCCGTAGGGTCCTGTCTTTTGGGAGTGGGGAGTACTGGGCTAGGCTGCTCACTGGCTGTTTCACAGGTGGTGGAATTTAAGAGCAGACCTGGGCTGAGCTGTGACCTGTCAGGTGATGCACGCACAGGAGGTTCAGCTGTGTGCCTGTGAGGAGGGCAGGAGCGTCACCCAAGCCTCAGAAGAGAGTTCCCCGGCAGCGGCGTGGCGTTCAGCATGTTCCATGTCTGGCTGTTTTATTGTGTCTCAGTCCAGTTGACAGACTCCTTTTAAGATGAAATTTGAATCAATTTGCAGAACTTGTACAAATCTCCAAGAAAACAGCTTAAAGAACAGATTAAAGACTGAATGCCTTAGGAATTAAAGCATTAATAGGTCTTGAGCAGACTGGATGCAAAGATGAGTTGTACAAAAAAAAAAAAAAGAAAAAAGAAAAAACGAGCAGCCCCCTCCATCCCACCAGTACCGTATAGGTTGTCCAAATGAGGCGACATCCAGGGAGCGGTTCTCACCTTCAGAGGGCGCTGCCTGTCCTCCTTGGCATCCAAGCGAGCGCATCTCCTCCACGCTCAATGGTGAATGCTGGCCAGCATCCCTGTGAAGAACCTTGTGATCATTTTCCATTTCTGAAAACTCCCAGGTGGTGGGGGCCCTTGGCCCCCATCAGCATTGACCCGCCGGGCTCGGATCTGGCTAGGTGCCTGCACTGTAATGGGAATTTCAGTACATTGAATTTTGCCTCTGCCCCTGATGAAGTAGCTTCAGTGGCATTTGCATCAAGATCACGTTAGTGTCATCTCTGTTAGATGCTTGGGAGCAAACATAAACTTGGGTTTCCTTTTAAGATGTCCTGTGATTCCAGATTCAGGGGAATCTGAGAAAAGTTTAAAGAAAGAAAATTCTACTTGGCCAGCAAACAGTGGGTGTGCAGAGCCTGCCCTGCCTTCCCCACTTCGTCCTGAGAAGCTGGGTCTTCCCCGGCACCAGAGTTGCTGCTGCTTCCCCTCGCGCCCTCGGCTGCTCTCCCAGCCCCAAGCCTGAGTGACACTCTAAGATTGCAGATGGCGAGCTGGTCTCTGGGCTCCCCCATCCCCATGACCCTCTACCTGCACCCGGACCTCTGGGTCCTTGCTCAGGCAGTCCCTGCCCTCAGTGAGATGCAGCCCACTGTGGGCCCTTCCCTAGGCCTGCCATCAGCTCCTTTGTTCCTCGGGGCCCCAGCAGCTGCCCTGGGCCCGTACCCACAGCACCTGGCACAGAGCAGGAGCCATTAATGTTCTTTCAGGAGCTGAATGAGGAGCAGATACACGGGCATGTCGTGCTTTCAAAGTTAATAAAAACAATCCCTTAAAAGTTGTTTTATGTTCGGTTTTTAAAGAGATTAACACCAGACATTTGCAACACTGCCCCCTCCCTCCATCTGTGAGAAATTAGAAACAGAGGGGAGACACACTAAAGCCAGCAGCAGATCAGGCTTATGCCCGGCGCCTGTGGTGGGACCCTGTTTCTATGTGGGACCTTGGGTCACAGCAGTACCTCTTATAAGCAGGGGTCCCACCCATGCCCCCACACAGGGCCAGCTGAGGCGAGGTGTGGCAATAACCCAGCTTCTAAGATGCAACGCCGCGCAGTTACTTATTCTCTGTGCTTATTTGTTCAAGCTAAAACGTCTCTGTTTAACCAAACAAAAAGAATATGAGAGACCAGTTTCACTTGCAAATATAGACATCAGCATTCTAAATAACATGGTCGTTGTTCATGTTATTTTGTTTTTCTAACTTTATCCCTTCCTAGAGATAAATGCAACTTTGTTCTTCTAAATTATACGAGTATATGCATTCACTGATGAATTCACCGTGGATGTTGACTATGTAACTTAAAAGAACAAAGTTGTGTTTCTCCCTGGAAAGCACAGGCCAGCTCACCTGAGGCGCTCTAGGAAGTCACTCTGCAGGGCACTGGTCCCAGGAGAACCACATGCCAATCACAGCCACGAACGCGGAAGAGGGAACCGGAACCTGACAGTCATTCACGAGACTGTGTTTTCAGGAAAGTGTTTAGCACCGCCGTGCTTGTGAGAGTCGGACACGTAGCCCCCAGTGCCCACAGCAGGGAGCCCGCCAGCTCAGTCTTCTTCAAGAAGCCAGGCCCCGTTCTCTTTTCTCTGAGTTTGCGAGTTTGCTGACTTGGCTCTCCTCCCTGCCTTTCATATATTTTATTCCTTAAAAGAAAGTCTGAAGCAAATGTAGGTGAACACTGGTGTTTCATAAAACTGGCATTGCTTGCATAGTTTTTCCATTTTGCTGTATTTTGTCATAAAAATGATCAGAAAAGGGAAGAAAGGAAATGAATAGGGTCCAGTCCTCACCCATGTGTGGGGTGGGGGGGTAGACCCCTGCTCCCTGCTGCACATAGAACAGTCCTCGTCCACGTGTGGGGTGGGGGGGTGGACCCCTGCTCCCTGCTGCACATAGAACAGTCCTCGTCCACGTGTGGGGTGGGGGGGTGGACCCCCGCTCCCTGCTGCACATAGAACAGTCCTCGTCCACGTGTGGGGTGGGGGGGTGGACCCCCGCTCCCTGCTGCACATA